CTTAAAAAACTATATAGAATTAATAAGGGCAGGAATAGAGGGAGTTCTGCGCCAGGCAGTTTTTTGTCTTGAAACCTGAATGTAAGCCAGATCATGTTTCCTACTGACCTAGTCATTAATTGCAGGATACGGACCGTAGTAGATCGCGGTGTTGTGAGATCTGAGACCGCCCAACACAGCACTGGAAAGCAGGCTCGCCTGGTAATTCCGAGGATCCCTCAGGCCTAAACAAATCCGATAATTTGCATCAGCTGACGGCTTAACTTCCGGTAACCGATGAACTTTTGAAAGTACATGTCAGAGGCGTGATCGGTGTGGACTGAGCTAAACCGGCAGTTTTGCGACCGACAGACTGAGTAAGAGAAGTTGGATGATCAACTTCCAGAAATAATCCCCGAGGGAAAAGTAAGCAGGCAGAACTACTTCAGCATTTTACACCAAAAGCGTCGATTAAACTTATTTTAACGTAGTCCAAGATTAAAGGTCCTTGCATGTCAACATTTCCTTCAGAAATCGTCAAGTTAATGTCTATCTTAACTAGTTCTGTAACTAGGGTTCGCGGTTGTGACATTTCAGTCTTTTGGAAATCATTTAAACATGGAACTCGTTGTATTTCACGATGAGCTACTTTTTGATAGTTTACGGCCTAAGCCTGCTCCAGGTGGGAACAGGCTTTGAGGGTAGATAACACAAGATGTATGAAACGCCGCCGAGACTCAAAGGCAGGACCGACTTATGTAGCCCCCTGAAGACGACATTAGGACAAGAGCCGTCTGCAAACCGGGTGACCTTGAACCAAAATTCAGTGAAATGAGGGTTACGTCGAGGGCTAGATTTAAAGTTGACGGTAAGTTAAGTCAGGATCCGCTGCTGAGAGAGAATGCTAAACCTTGCTCATCAGAACGGACTACTTGTCACCAACGCATGCTTCCAGCATCGACACAAACACCTGACCTGGTGTTCAAACGACTGCCATACAGCCAGTCAGATCGACTACATTCGCGTTGGCCAAACGTTTCGCAGCTGGGTTTACGATAACAAATCGATGCGTGGTGTCGAGACTGGTAGCGTTCATGAGCTGGTCCATGCCCTTGTTCGCACGCGCCTGGAGCCTTGCCTTTCAGCGGCACCGAAAATGCCATGTGCAAGACGCCTTGATGTCGCAGTTGTTTTTCACGACCGCACGTATCATCATGAGGGACTAAGGTGAAAAGTATATTAATCATGCCCATGTGTTCGGCCTCTGTAGCGCTAAGATTCATCTAGTGTGACAGTTGGGTCGTCGTGACCGACGATATCCACCGCGTGCTCCAAAGCAGGCTGAGAGCAGGCACGGTGACTTGGGTGATTCCTCTTATAGTGATGGTATACTTACACAGCATCTACCACACTCTCTCACCCTCCCCCTCTTGGGCCTCGTGTATGGACAAGATCAAGAAGACCGGAGGCGGGAGACGATGCATGTGTCTGGCACGGCTGGACCCACGCCTGGACATATCGCCGCACACCCTGGTACACAACAAACACTTGACCACGATTTTAACCCCCAACAAGAGCGACGGCTGGCGTGGTCGAAGTCGCCCCTAGACGGGGAGCTAAACCCGGTTCGGATCCCACTAGGTGGGAGTGACATAGAGGCCACATTAAGAATGAGCCATTACAGCCTGACGCTCAGACCACCAGTCCGCCACCCTACACAAACAAACATCTCGTGTACCGAAGTACAGATGAATAGCAGACAGGCTACAATGGCGGAGAGACGAAAGCAAGCATGGACGACTCGATCGGACAGGCAATTATGTGGAACGTGATCGGGAATCCGGTGAGGTCGCGCAGAATTTCAGTGGCAGACATTCAAGCAGGAAGTCAGTCACACGTCGACCGGGTTGAAGCCTGAGCCAAAATTGGCTGAGAACAGACATTGCTCTTGATTTACCCAGGAGTGACAGGCTGTCATCCGAGGATGCAGTTAATTAGTACGGACGGTTTGCACTGCTTTTCCCAAACTTGGGGAGGACGTCGCTTTGTGAACAAAACCATGGGCGGCATTTTATTTCTTTTCCGCTGCTTATAAACCCTAATCATTATGTGTCCCAGCAGTTGGCACCTGCCCTCAGCCTATGTGCAAATGATTTTTGGGACACTTTATGGCCAGCATAAGGGTTAGACGCGTTCATGGGAAAAGCTCAAAATTACGGGTCGAATTTATGGAATCAACAGTTCTTTCCAAAAAGCACAGAGTTGTCACAAGGATTGAGAAATAAACTAGGCAAACTGTGACAACAGCCACGATTTTCCTCTCCGAATGGGGCTCAACCCCTGACGACGTACGTGTTGTCGGGGAATTTCGTGTAGACCGACTGTGTGCTGAATAAGACCAACTGTTGGGTCGATAAGTACAGCGCTAGGACAGATGTTAACTTTACGGAGGCTACCAACGCCTTCGTGCATGCTTCTGATAAACTGCTATTTGTCCAAACAGTTAACGTCAGATTTTGATTCGCATGGCAACTTGCTCTGACTCCTGCAGCCACGCACTGGCCTCGGTCCCAATAATAAAGATGCCTTCGTGAGGTAGGCGTCCCGCACGCTATGTTCACGGACAATTTTCAGGTCCGTTACACTACCTTTATGGAATTTTTGAAATGGCTTGAGGTTGCAGGGATGGCTCCATAGACACTTAAGGAGCCCTCGTGAAAACTAGAGCCCTTATTGCTGGCCATAAATGCGGTGGAGTTTCAGAGGCCCCATCAGTTTCTTGTTGGAGTTTATGACTGAAATACTCATCACTTTGTGCTGATAAACGGATTTTGTCCGCGCAAAGTGATGAATATTGTGGAGCGACCTTGTACAAAAATCTTCTGGAGCTCCTTCCAAATGTAAACGAGAGACTCACCACTGGGAATGTTCTCAAAATAACTGATACTCATTGGTTAAGTGAACCGAAAATGCTTTTATAGTAGATATCCTCCATTATCCCTCACTCGGTCGGTACAGTAATGAACTAGGTTTGTCTCGGATCCGGACGCGGAAAATGAGCTAGGTAAGTGAAGTTTCATGACCGTTGCGCAAACCCCTTGTTAAGGGGAGTCTAGTAAATCAATTCAGACCAAATGCTCATTATAGGCAGCGATAACAGGACCCGACTGCAAAGTTCAAAGAAGCACATAAAGGAAGAACTGATCGTGGTAGTGCACGGAAATATAATTCTCCTCCACTACATTCAGTCTTGCGCTGCATTCCAGAGAAGGTCGGCTTAAGAGGGTTTGGGATTAGTGTTATGAGGGTTAATGTTGGGGAGGCAAGGGGGATAGGTACACCCTGGAATGTAGAGCAACGCCACATGCAGTACAGGGGTCTGTATTCCCGCGTTCAACCCTGATTGAGACAGTATATAAACTCCAACGACTTCTTAACATCTAGTCAGAAACACAAGTTCGCGCGCTGTTTTGCCAGGGGTTGGAGGGAATGCTGAGGGTACCAGAACAGTATCATCGTTTTGCGCACTTATTAGTAAGTACCCAAAGCTAAGCGGAGTTCCACAAAGTGCCAAAGCATATTTACAGAACAGTATCTTGTAAGGCCTGAAGTTGCCATCGTGCGAAGTCGTTTAAGGGACTAACCGCCCACAGTTCGGAGAAAAATGACTACGTTCACACCATGCCATCCTTGCATCACCCGCTTCCTGTCCCAAAAAACTGGAAATATCCAGACCACTGACTCCTGGCCCTGCAGATTTTCACCCAAGCCAAAAAAGCATTGACAGGGACCTATCGAAATCAACCTCGTGTTTGACGAATTTATCCTGGAGGAGTCAGTGGGGGTTTTTGGCGAAATCTCCTCAACGGAAGCGGGATTAAGCAGAACAGCAGAAGTGCTGCGCCACAAAATGTTGGACATGCAAACGCGGCACTTATCGGTCGATCGCCTGATTGAATTGCAATTAACCGATGTTACGCTGTGTGTAGGTACAGAAGCCTGCGTTTTTCCAGCGGAATATGCAAACGACCCTCCTCTGAGGGAGTGGGCTGAGTTCGGCTGAGGAAGACGTGGGAAACGCCAGTCTCACTCTTCCTACTCACAGTATTTTTCACCTTCAAGATTTTCTGCCTGGTTAAAATCAGGCTGAAAGCCAGTGGCATCCGTACAAGGCCAGCGAAGGCTTCAGATTGAGCCCCAAGTCACAGCGGAGGAGCATGTACCTTGACCCGATAAATGAGTACACTTCCCACGGGTTCCAATCCCAGGCGCTCCAGACTTAGGGGATGGATATGGATGGCTAATGACAGCTGATAAGCTAGAAATGAACATTCCAGTCCCGTCCTTATCGGAACACCCTTTAGCACACACACATATATTAACAGAGGGACGACAGAGAATGAGGATAAATTGGTACAGTACTGGTTCGGGCTTATGATATGCATAATAACCGGTAGTTATAAGCAGGAAAGTGACATTTCTGAACACAGGGGACCGAAAAGAGAACGGAACCATGCCTGAGTGCACTTGGTGGAAGTAAGAGGGGAATGTCAGATAACACAACGATGGCCGTCCAGGAGGAAAAAGAACTGTACATGAACGGTTGTTGGCGAGTTGCATTGGTCACAGAAAGAAGGGAAATAAACGCTGCGTGTTAATAATCGGTGTCCTCAACACAGTAAATCCGTCAAATGAAAACCGTATCAAGGAATAGACATTCAATGCAACATCTGCGTATGAATGAGAATCAAAAATAAAAATGATATTTGCTAAGAGGGGGTTGATTTTTTTGCATTGTTGGCGCAACCAGGTCAGTGATAACTGGGAATCACAGAAAGGGTCAACACTGATTTTCGCTAAGAGGTTGGTAGGTTGACAGGCAAGCTGACGGGGACCGAAGTCCACTGAAAACGGTGCATGGCAGACACTGGTAGTTGTTCCAGACTGATGTTTTAAAAGATGCGATGGACGGAACAACATTGTTTGCTGGAGACAGAACCTTTCAATCAACGACCCGTATTCTAAATAACAGATGATACTGAAGAAGAAAAAAAGGATAGCTAGCGGAAGTTAAGGCTCAAAAGAGCAAGTAAGTGGAATTGTAAAATTATTTTTTAAACTATACGACCGAACTACCAACAAAACCCACAGGCGGGCATAAACTTAGATGGGATAACGCTCAATTCATCGTTTTGGAGCATTAGGTCTGGAAAGGTGCAAGGTTCAAAGAAGAATGTAGCTGTTGGCTGCTTTACTTGCGGGAAGTCCTGATGTTTGAAAAAAGTCTGCGTTAAGCAAGTAGGTGGATACAGACAGCCAGTCCGGCATGCGCAGAGGAGGCCAAAGTTCGTTGATAAACTGTACGGGACCCGTTTCCAGTATCGGCCTCTAAGCTGGTGCAAATAAACCCCCAAACCAATTTTGCAAATCGGAAAACTGTTAGCTGGCCTCATCAGTTTGAATTCCTGGAGAACGAAAATTTGGGCTAGATCGCAGTTGGTAGCCAGGTCCCGTATCATAGGTGGTTGGGAGGGTTGTTTACTGGGGCTATTTTATGAAGCTCCATAATCACATGCGATCCATTTGGCTTCCGTTTTACGGTTGAGGTTAGAAATAGGGTACTGGTTAATGGTTTCCGATTTGCACAGAGCACAAATGAACCGCTTGTCAGTACTTGATAACGCATGAGTCGTTGACTGTAGTCTGCAACGTACGAGGTTCAGTGGTCGACTTTAGGCTGCATCAAAATGGTTACTTCATGGTCTAAATTGGGGCCAATTTATTTGGGGCCGGGGCGTGACTGGTTGGTATACAAAAGCGCCAAAAACAGTTGAAGCAGTCTGTCTGCCTAGCTCGGTTGTCAGCGGACTTACCATTCTTATTGGTAGTGCCCTCATCCCAAAAGTATGGATCGTCATCTGCATAATTTCGCAGCCGCCAAACACCGTCATAAATCTCCGGTGAGACTGCAGTTTGTTCCAGTCTCTCTTTAAGAGTTGTCAACTTTTGAGATTCCAGCTTGGCATATTCACTCGGCCTTGTCATAAGTTTGCGGGTCAACTCCATGGCATCCATATTGGTCAGACCGGCAATTGGGCTCTTGTTGGCCCCCTGACATCTGCTGCCACTACCACCTGCATCACCATCACTGAGGAGATTTGTCACGTCGGCGTCGCCTGCAGTCGAACGAAAAGTCCCAGGTAGATGAAGACCCGTTTTTTGGCGATTTCGGCAGAAGAAACGATCCCAAATGATCACTGCAATGACACAGATCACTTGCAGGAGAACAGCGACCACCGGCCAGAGAATTGAGTTAAAAACTGCAGGAGAAGAGAACAAAGGAAGTGATTGTTTGCTTTTTAGAAAAGATTTGTGACGGCTCAAGCAGTTGGGATGCCTAAGCTATCACAATACTGATGGCCCAGTGCTGTCCTAGAGGAAACGGGGGGAGACACCAGTAAAATTCGTGTATTCTGTGCAGAGGCTTGATGGTGGTCCGAGTCCCCCGCACTCGCGGCCGCATCTGAGCTTGTGCGCGTGCCTATCCGCTAGGATGATGAGCGCATGAATGCAGGTTGTAACAGTTAGATAGACCCGCACCTCTCATCCTAGTTTTAATCGGTGGGTTACAACAATTTCTGTAGGGAACTGGCCAGTCCTGAGGATTGGCAAGTCTTGATTCGCGACTCATCATCTTTTCTACTGCATCTTTGCATATCTGTTCTCTTTTTACTTGCTATAACAAACACTTTCATAATGGCCCGCTCGACGTGCACATTTTTTGTACCATTTTTCCTTTATGCTGGGCGTTAATGCGTAGTTTATCGTCCTGCTTATCTTTGCTACAGCTACAGTTCTTCGTTCCCTCTGTGTAAGAAACTCCCATTAGCCGTGACTATCAATTCACTACCCACATGATTACGCCAATCAGATTATACCGTTTAAATTTGTATGCTGAACGATGGATCTTTTAATAACTAAATCCCAAGGAAAAGAAGACTATCTCCCAACGAGAACGGTTATACGATTCTAAAGACCTCTCTCCTGCCGGACATCGGTGTGTCATGTAAGTCACTCAGTGTCAGTCCGGTGGTTTGATTGAGTAATTGCGGAATTAGTGGGCGCCTGTGATTGGCCACCCTAGAGCTCGCATATGCGCGGGTTCTGGTGGCTTGGGCGGCGTGATTAAACGATTCCTAACTGGCGTGGATGCCAGTGGCGGAAGGCTTATGTGAGTTTGAGACGTTGCATGTATTGAGTTGGACTGCTGTCACACAGTCCCGGTTACAAAATATTCGGCCATGCGAAACTTCACCGCATTGAATGCCACTTATTTTTACTGGCAGTCAGTTCGCTTAGAGCAACATAAAAGATCATCTCAGACAAGGTTCACTGGCGCAAAAAGTGCTCAAATGATGTAGAGGTATTCTAACCGGGATAATAGAACATAAAAGCCAGAATGGCGGACGTCCTGTTCGCATCCTCTCGTCCTCCAGCCTTCTATCAATATAAAGGATATAACTCACCGATAAGCAAAACAACACACATTCTGGGCTCACGCTGAACAAGTAATTTTTCGAACAAATCTTTAAAAGGCCGCATAACTGAAGCGAATTCCAGAAACAAAGCAGGTCCCCATTTTATGCGCAGAATGATGGATGTCTGGACGCCGGAGTAAGGACCCCTCGTAGTGCGCTAAATTTTAGGGGCAAAATTTTAGGTGCTAAATTTTTAGGGGCCCTAACTTTAATCTAACCCTAACTGTAGCAATAACCTTAACACGAATACCTTTGAAATTTAGGGCAGCGCCACTTGCAGTGCAGGTAGGGGGTCCATAGACCCGTGTCCTACCCGATGGCCAGTTGATTATGAAAAGCCCACGCCAAATTTGCTCCCGCCTAGCTTTCTTTTCAAACCCTGGAAGAGGGTTTTGGAGAGGGATAAACTCGAGAGGATAAACACTTCCGAAGCGTCTCGTCGGTCGATTTAAATCTCCAAATAAGTGATTGGTCGCAACCACGCGGGTGCATATGAATGGCCAAACGAACAGAATGCGTCCTTAATAAGGTAAGACCAAGTAAAGGATCGAGACAGTTCAGTTTGTATCGGTGTATTTAAGGACAATATGCTTACGTCATCGAACTCCCTATTTGTCACACAAAAACCAGAAAAATTGACAACAATGTAGGGAAATTAGACTGTCAAGCAGAAACAGACTTAGTTTCACATAAACTCATATGTTTGCTTTGAAATAAGTTTCCGTCCCCCGTAAACGTTGCTAACAAGATTCTAGGGTACAAGCCTAGGACTGCTGGAGCTACAAATGAGAGTTCAACCAATCAAAACGTCCTGATGTGCTTATAAAAAGCAATTTCAGTAGGTACAAACAGGTATGGGTCAGTTTACCACCCAAAGTCGACCCCTTACCTTTCTGAACCGCCTCAACAAACTTCATTCAAAAGAAGAATAGGCGTGCGTCGGGAGAGGGTTTATTCTTGCTCTAACGTTTCGAGTAGTGATTTTGGTCGCCCATCTTCAGAGACTGAAAATCCTGCGTACACCCCTCATTATATGGAGCAATTTGCCGGATGTGCAGGTACTCAATGCCAACTGTGGGGATGAGTCGGATCCCCGTCTCACTGTGACCTGTTCCGCCCCACCCCATGAACCGCAGCGATAATTGGCGGCCCCAACTATTTCACGCCCTCACTATTTCCTGTCAAGTAGATTCGTAAAGCCAGCTAGAGGAGGCAAGTTTGTGTGACGGATAGTTGTCTCCACTCTGTGCAACCATGCGGAGACAATCATCAGGCGCCGGCTAATGAGGCTGAAAGGCCCGGTGCCTTGGCAGGAAATGCTTGGACGCATTTACCGGATGTGGTGCAGTTGACTCCACAACAACTACGAGTGAAAACGTCGGAGATTACTTAGGGTACGGATGAGGGAATAAGCAGCAGAAATAGAGAGGAATGATGTCTGCCCCGCAGTGGCGGCTTATCCGATGGAGTCCGGCCAAACCTTCAAGCTAGACAAAACTGACATTATCGTCAGAGGTGGAAACGATGTGAGCTGTTTCAATCATGGTTCTCCGGCCCACAATCCGGCGACAGTTCGACGATCGTGCCCGACAATGTCTACCGTGTGCTCAACAGCGAGGTGACAGCAGGCACGGCGAGTTGCGCGTGAATTAATTTACAGTGAGTGTAGACTTGTGCAGCATCTACCGTGCACTTTCTTCTTCCCCCACCTGGGCTCGGTGTCAAGACATAGTCAAAAAGACCAGTGGTGGGGGAGGGAGCAGGCGGCTGGCGCGGTCCGAGTCGTCCCTAGGCGTGCCGCCACACCTGACTCGGATCCCGCAGTGTGAGAGCCATAAAGGGGACATTGGGAAGGAACCGTTGCAGCCTGACTCTCAGACCATCAGCCGGTCGCTCCACACTAACACACAACACTGGACCGACTGCGAGGTCTAAGTTATCTCGTCAGTCGGCAACCTCCCCAGCCACGGCTTTTGGCGCACCGTGATATCATCAAGCACGTCAGATTGTTTATAGTGAGGAAAATGCGCAGAGTCGTCGACCCCATTCTCCATTCCCCTTCCTCGGTTCCGGCCACTGTACGAGCCGTTCAGTTGACAGGTGTTGGCAATGGGCGTGGTGGCTAACATATCTAGTGACTCTATCTTCGAGTGCCACAGGCATGACCATGACCCCCAACCACAAGCACCAGGATTTAACACAACAGGGGGTTGGGCAACATACATCTCACATGCCCGCCGTCCATCGACTAGTACAATGACTTCCCTCCACCATATTCGATGTAGAGACCTTGTTCGACTGAGTGATTAGCAACGCCTGGAGCGCGCGAGCAAACACTGTTTTTAATGTCAGTATCGGTGACCCGAACATCTGAGTAATTATCGCGCTAATAACCGGCACGTGTGAAGGAAGAGCGGAAATTATGGATTCGGATACCAACAACAAAATAATCGTCGCAACAAGTACGACCATCTGTAATGAGTGAAGGAGTTGCCGATTTTTATAGGTATCCTGTAATACTTGTGCATTTAGAATCGTTATCTATTGCTGTTCCTGATGATGGGTTCGGGTGTGAACCTGAAACGTCAGTCTAATAAAATTATTGTCAACGGTAGGTCGTGTAACCCTACCTCTCAATTAAATTTAACTGTCTTATTATTGCTTATGAGAGGGACTATGCACAAGTTATCTTAAAGAAATAAACAAGTCAGGCGCATGTGCTCGACAACAGAAACCGTTCAGAGATATCAAGGACGCAGAGCGTTTGTGTTTCAGCCGAGGCAAGGTAAGCCAAAGCACAACTGGTGATCCTTGCAGCAAACCTAGTATGGTGAGTAATGACATGGAAAAAGAAGGTTGAGCTACTCTTCCGGAAGAAATAAGTAAGTCACGGCGTACGGAATCGACATCGAAAAGCAATGCAAGTACATTGGGGGAACTAGGAACTCAAGATAAGGCAGAGGGATTATGGGGGGGGCGAGAACTTCATGGCAAATAATTGATCACTAAAAAAATTTATGCCGAGACAACCCGGTGCATGCAGTTATATCAAAGTGTTAGATAACACACAAAGGAGAGCTTCCTGTAGCTATGGATTAATAAACAAGACCTTCTAAAACAAATATAGTAGTTAATTATACATGCTAAACCCAGTGGAGTTAAACAACCTATCCTTACCAAATTATTGTTCCACCGGTGGTGGCTCCCTCTTCTCAATGAAATTTAATCCATCGGCGTATTTTAAGATGCGGACAAACAAGAAGAGATTTTATCTTAAAAGTAACAAAGCGAAATGTTAATCAGCTCACCTCCCTTGCACCGCATTTCTGTAAACTCCTGCTATGCTAGCCGTTTATCTTTTTAATGACCAGACCTTTCTGAGTGAACAGCGAAATCTTTGCGGTAATTAGGCGCTCGCGCACTGATGCCAATCGAACCTACTGGACAAAGAGACCTTCATCTCACTTAATTCGTCTAACCTTCCCTTGGTGGGCAACTTGGTCGAGGTTGGCAAGTTGAGCAAGTAGAAGTGGTGTACACAATCGGCGAAATCTCGCAAGCGATAAAGGCTGTATTAAGCGAATTCCAAACTTACGTGTATCTGCTCCGTCAGCAGTGGGCCACCAAACTTCCGATCCACCCACCTCGTTCTCAGCATGGCACCAGAAAATGACCGAGCCGTCCATTGGTTTGTCCTGCCTCTGCTTGATGATCAGTCCGGCGCAGTCGTCCTTCTCTTCCGCCTCCGGTGGTTGGGCGGACTGCTGCGACCCACCATCCGTTGGCCTCGTCTTCGAATCGACCAATCGGAGCGCGTGTTCCGGATGACTCCAGTTCCAGTAGAATTTGGACGACCTAACAGGTGGAAAGGCGACGACCACAAGACATGCCTGTTCCCACTGGGTGCGCAAGAGGACGTTGCGCGGGTTGGTTGAATTTTTGCATGCCGGATCATGCAAAACGGCCGCAGAGAGGGGCGGGGGTGGCGGATCACTTGAAAGGCGCAGAATGGGGGGCACTTAAGAGGAATGAACGGAGGTGGTGAGTACACCAACTCCTGGTTTTGATCCCTAGCACCTGTAAATAATCGGTAGGCCGTCTAGGAGGACTTTATTATGGGTAATAGTGGGGGTTAAGCGGCAAAAAACCACTTTTAACCACGCAGTGACGGGCTGTAGTCAGCGTCCCCTGAAACCATAATATACCTTCAGATGGCTGCAATTCGTGCGTACTTTCGCAAATAGATCAAAATACTTGTGTATGATATTTAGAACCTACGCTTGTTAGGGACGTTCTCGGCAATATAAGGGAGAATGAGCAGTGTCCATTTGAAATACATCAACAAGAGAATATACCTTAGTCAAACTCCATTGTGAGATTGACGGCGTATACGGAGCGGACGAGCAAGAGTAACGACCACAGAAAGACGGGAAAGCAATAACGAGTTAGTTAGACCCAAATGTATTTTGAAAATTTTATTACTAACGTCACCTCCCGGATTATGCGCATTTGCCTACATTGTGGAGGATACGTCTCAGTTCTGGTAAAAAATGTTAACACCACTTGCAATCACTTTTCTAACAATGCGCAGACCTTCTACAGTAGTTGGAAAGAGTTTTGACTTTGTTTGAATCGGATCGATGTTTGGGGGCAGTACTCATTGTTTTGGACAGGGACGACCTGATCAAATCAGATGCAATTCCACTAAGATTTGAGGTGATAAGATGACGCAATTCAGACCACACAGTCTACCTACGTGCCTCCTCCAACACGTCGACAAGAATTTTCAAACACGATGATCGTTCGAAAAATTCTGCTGCAGAGCGTTGTAGTTGCTACATGCAAGCCGCATTTCAAAGGCTCGTGCAGATAGATAAGGGATCTTTTTTATTTAGCTGTCATCGTCACTGTTAGAGTCACCAATGTCGTCGGCTGGTTCCACGTCTGTCAGTCTAATTCACAAGTATGGTTGCACTCTGAAGTTCCCTGTAACAAGGTCTGTTTTTGCGGAAGGGGGGAAGAACAGGGATGAGACGGAAGCAGTTGTACAGCCGGCTACGTTGAATGCCGCAGGAACATGCATGCAATCCTTGTGCAACATTCAGCTCGCAGTGCATATTGAACTTCTGCGACAGGCTGAGTTCCATCCTAATTAATGGAGCCGAAGGCAGGGGACCGGAACAATCAAATAAATATACTAGTAGAAAAAGCGCAAATTACCTCGAAGAAAGACGTTCCATCCGATACTGCCGGATCCAGCGAGTTCGAAAACGCACCGGTACTTCCCGTAAGCTCCTTGGTCCAAACCTTGAAAGATTCCGCAAAACATAACTGACTGGCTTTATCCTTTCGACCATAAAAAGGTACGTTTAAGGGGGGCCAGACTGGTGGTATGGACATTTCCATGTCCTTGCCACAAAAAGTAGGCTTAAGGTTGTCTGTCTGAACGAAAAAAGGGTCAGGGTTCCAAGAATAGCCGCGATGACTATTTGCACTCGACAAAAATATTTTCCGGTAAGGATATTTTGAAGTCTCTGGTTCATCACCGTCAGGAAAAAACTAGGGTACATGCTTGGCTTAAGGATGACGGCTAAGAAAGTGATGAAATTTTCCCTAGCGGTATCGAAATAGTGAGCGAATTATTCACTACTGCCAACAACTTACAAAATGCAATAATATTTGCTATAAAAAATATAAAATGTCAAACGTAATTCTGAATTCCGTTTTGCGTTGGGAAGGATTATTTACGTTACATTTTAATATTGATTATTGTGCGGCCTAATCCGAAGATATTCTAGTCACGCCAGGATGCCGACGTTTGAATGAATTTCTCTGCGCCTGACTGCAAAATCCATATTTGCCAAAAGTGGACAAGTAGTATGGTCTTTAAATTGATTTTTGATGTCCTTAAAAACCAAAACCTCATCTATAGAAAACATAGGCAAAAGCATCTTTTTGTACTCACCTGGTTGTAATTCACGTTTTCTTCAAACTTTATACTCGATAAAAGGACATATGTGGGTTTTAAAAACGTTCTCAATTCCCGAGTAAATTTGAGCCAGATCTGCTGATGCATTTGCGTCTGGGATTTTGAGAATACAAATGTATACTTTTCATGTAAAGGAAACCATACATTCGTCGTATGCCACTAGGAGAAGACTATAAAAATGATTGTAAAGTTTTGCCATGGATGTAAAGTATGCCGTAAATTTCATGAGGAGAATTAACAATCGCGCAGTGTTGATACTTCCTGAGTGGACATTCCACGATATTAAAAAATCTCATGAACACAAACTTCTTTAAAACAAAAAGACTCACTTCCTTGAGTGCAAAACCTTAAGAATATATAATTTGCGGCCAAATGAGTGCGTGAAAAGATATTTCAGATAAGGTTTTTCATAAAACATTTGGATTTATAAGGGCATATAAAGCCAACGAAGAAATTCCCACTGCACATGTGGCCGTTTTTTACAAATGCGGTTTTTGCAGGCGGCCGAGAAGAAAAGCATTCAAAAGTCGACATCCTGATGTAACTAAAATATTTTGGGATTATGCTGCAAAATAACCAATATTACAAGCAGACTTAAGTAATCATTCCTAGTTGAAAACGGATTCCAAAAGTCCGGCTAACATTTCATCAGTAACGACTACACATCTAAGTGTGAGGAAGACTTTCCCTCCGAAATAACTACGAAATTATTTGTATCTTTATAAGGGCCCGATTGTTTTTTAAAAGAAGTAAATTGAACAGGTCAAAGAAAGTCGGTGCAAGTTAAGTTTATAATACGTAAACATGCAGCCTGTTCGTATGTCCTTCATTAAATGATTTCACATAAACGGAAGTGAACTGGCATTATCGAATCACTGTGTATGTAATATTTGTATATGCATCCTTTCTAAGTGCCATACTTGACCCTTTCAAGTTTCCTTAAATTTGCAAAACGTGAGTGCATTTCGCGATTTCGTATAACACGCATGAAAAAGCTTAATTTAGTTACTTCCCCAAAATGTCTAGGGAATTTAATGACGACAGTTGGATGGACAGGAAAAGTTTACTTGACAAATAACTCAAAACCTTTACACTTTTCTGACCTTATTTTTTCCTAACAAAACATAAATTACGACTTTTCTTGCCGAGGAGACAGAACAGATGCAAGCTAGAAAAGTTAAGTATCCGTTTGCTGCCGGAAAAAAGTCAAAGTAAGACGCCGCGATACATCATTGAGACGTAAAGGAACAATCGGATGAGTAGGTCGAGACGCCAGGAGATTATATAAAATGGCAGGCAGGGACCTTAAGCTCCGTTAATTTCGCCGTTCGGGAATAAATGAACAATAGTTGAAGAGATTGTAAGTTATCCGAGTTCACGCTTGGAAAGTGGTGATCGAAATAATGTCTGGAGGGAGAGTTGAAGCTCTTTAGGAAATATTGCATGAAAAGCTCCGGTCTTCTTTGTGAACATAAATGGGTCAGTTTCTTGAGAAGAACGCTAAATCCTGGTAAAAAAAACACTGCGACAGGGGAGGACATTCGAATTTTCGACACTTATTTGGTTAGGCAAGAAGATTACAGGTCGTTATGAGAATTACTCGCTTACTAACCCCAACTTGTGAACTCTTACAGGGGTGTGTTTTTAGAAATGACAGCAGCGATGAAATAAGCAACAGCCGTAAAACAGTCTAACGAATAAACAGCCGGTGTTCCAGCTCTGAAGGTAACTACGCGGAACTATGTATGAATTGCAACACTGGCTTTTAATTAACCAGACTGTCTTAAACTGTGGGTCGTTACGATGTTGCGCCACCTCCAATGATTGACGCTCGTGCGGGTTAAAAGGCTGAGGCAATTAAACGATTAGTATGGAGATCAGGGGGATTTACAGAAAAATTCAGACTCCTTTTTTCCAGATTTCACCAACACCAGAGGAAATGAGAAGGCTCTTAGTCCCCAGTACCTGACATCGACGTTGATGCGAACAAAAAATTATTCAAACATAGGGAAGAAGTGTTCATAATCCTAGAAGACGCATCACATGGAGCATACTGTACGAGATATTTCATACGCCTTAATGACTTAGAACGCCTTATTTTAATTTTTTTGTCGAATTTCTCCAGAAAAGTAAAGTGCGTTCGATTCGAGATAGGGGAGGCAAAAAGACTTACATTTAACTGCTATTTTCACAGTCATTTAGATGATAAAAAAATACTCGCTACGCAAAAGTCGGTTTAGCATTAAGATTAGAATACGAAAATTGAAAGGTAATTCAGTTTTTTAAAAAAAAATACATGAGCTGATATGAAAAATTATATTGTTACAAGTTCTGAGCAGAATCCACCCACAGGCATTACTTATCAGATTGATCTAAAGTCATCGAGAAATTTACGAGAAGCCTTCGGACTCTGTCTGGGCAGGTGTTCTAGCTAATAGGCGCACACATAGTTATTCCGTAATAATTAAACCCAATCGAAATTCCGATGGTTTCATGAAGTCACCGGAAATCTAGAGAGAAATATTTGATTCCGCTGGAGTCAGAATCGAGAAGGACTGAGAAACTAGTAGGAACCAGAGAGTAGCCTAAAGATGAACTAAAAATCCAGAACAGAAGGAGGTGAAAAGATATTTCACCCTAGCCTATGAACACCTTCCAGGCAATATACGATAAGGCTTTAAGACAATTAGTTCTGGAAATCAAACTGCAATAGCGCTATAATTACGAAAAAGACAGGTTTCTCCTTTAGTCAATTACTTATAAGGGCTTAAGCACCCGGCAAACATAGACATTACACACAAAATATAAAAATAATCGCCTTGGATTACAACAGCATAAAACGCTTATTCTGAAAGATTAGTGTGTGAACAATTGTGGGGAAGGGGCATCTTTTCATTTACAGTAGATGTGCTATCTCATAAAATGTTAACCGAAATTCTGCAATGTGTTTTCGATTTGGACAGTTTACGTAAGTAGGGCTGTAATATTGATTAGCAGAATCCTAAAATATTTCAGCCACCCCAGGATGCCATCTTTTGAGTCGGCCTGTTTCCGGCCACCTAAAATAACCACAATCGAGAAAAATAATTTCTTAAGTAGTATGATTTTTTCCCTTAACTATCGATGCCCTTACAAATTCAATTATATTTTATAGAAAATGTGTACATAAGATATTTATTCTTGCGTTCATTTTATAGCAAATAATGCCTTCTTCGAATACAGTACTCAAAGAAAGAATATCTTTCGGTTTTAAAAGAGTTTCCAATTGTGAATTTTTTAAGACCATGAAATGTCCACCCATACAGCATCGCATCAACCCGTTTATTAATGTTACTTGTACATTATACAACGTGGTCCATATCCATTGCCCACTTCCATGAGCGCTATATAACGCCTTCCTAGAAGCGTGGAGAAATGAGCGGTGTTCTTCTGACGAAATGTGCACAGCATGCAGTTTCGAAACCCTGAATGCAAGTGTAAAGGCAGGCGGAGCAAAAATATTCGGGAATTAAAAAGTTCTTACGGCTTAATGATACTCATTTTCAAGTGGAATATTTAAAGACGACGTAATTGGCTACCAAATGAGTACCAGAGAGAATATTTTTGTACACGTTTTCTGCAAAATATAATCGAATTTATGAGGGCATCGATAATCAATGGGAAAAATTCACACTGCTTAGGTAGTCATTCCTTACAAAGTGTATTGTTTTAAAGACGGCCGAAAAGAGTCTTTTACGAAGGCCAATATCCCGACGCGGCTGAAATATCCTGTGGTTATGCTGCACGACAATAAGTATTACAACCCTACTTAAGTAATCCTTTCGAATCAAAAGCACATTTCAGAACTTCGGTTAGCAATTACAGGACTTGAAGACTAGACGATGACCCAACATAGACGGCAAATTTAACTATTGTGAGCAGTCGAGTAAATCACCTGACAACATTATGACTTATCTGTCGCAACAACTAAGTAGCATTAAGGCAAACAATGATCCCGTCTAGGTTAAAATGTGACCGAAGAGGAGTTATTAGAGTCACGGTTGTGGTGACTCGTCATCTTCAAGATCCGAAACAGAGCTAAGCCGGTGATCCCAGTTCAGAGGTCTCAGATATTTTTGAGTCCAAAACACAGCCAAACTCAAGTAAACGAAGCGGCGTCATAACAATAAATATCGATTTATACGGGCCGTTGAATGCATGCCGTTAATGTTTTAGGAACAGTATTTAAGTGCGAGCGTGTTCGGTTAACAATTATTTTTCAGAGTGGAAGGCTATTGTCCATACTGAATACTCACGAATGAGAAAAGGTTAAAAAGGTCTGGAGGATAAAAAATGTTCAC